ATTACAGGCTGAGCCACCGAGCCCGGCTACTCAGCTAATTTAAAAAAAATTTTTTTTGTAGAGACTAGGTCTCACGATGTTGTCCAGGCTTGAACTCCTGGCCTCAGGTGATACTTCTGCCTTGACCTCCCAAACTGCTGGGAAACAGGCATGAATCACTGCGTCTGGTCATGATTCCAAGATGTACTTCTGTAAGATGTATTACTAGGCACTTAATTTTTTTCTACTGTAAATAAAATTGTGTCTTTTTTCAATTATGTATTTTTTATGTTTATTGTTGGTATACAGGAATATGACTGATCTTTTAAAATTGGTTTTATATCCAGTAGGAAATAAGAGAAGCATAAGAAGCTTCAGCTACCTGGCTGAGCCTTATTAATTCTAATAAGTTATCTGTAGACTCTCTTACTTTTTCTATGTTGACAATTACATCTGAAAAAAAAAAATCACTTTTTTTTTTTTTTTTTAAGTCAGAGTCTCACTTTGTTGCCCAGGCTGAAGTGCAGAGGCATGATCACAGCTCACCACAGCCTTGACCTCCTGGGCTCAGGCAATCTTTTTGCTTCAGTCTCCCGGTAGCTGGGACTACAGACATGAGCCATACTCAGCTAGTTTTTGTTATTTTTAATTTTTTTTTGTAGAGATAATGTCTTGCTATGTTTCCCAGGCTGGTCTCAAACTCCTTAGTTCAAGCAGTCGTCCTACCTTGGCCTGCCATAGTTCTGGGGTTAGAGACATGAGCCACCAAGCCCGGCCAGAAAATTACTTTCAAAGCTGTAAATTATTACAACTATGAGTACCAAACGTCTCCTTGTATCCTGGCCTGGCACAGTACATGCTCAAGGAGAATTCACTGATAAATGAGATTTTTTTTGATTTGGCTATTTTCTGTTTTTAATCTACTTCTATGTAAACTGCAGTGGCCATATTATTTAGGAAGCATCTACTGCCAGGTAAAGTGTCAATAGGATCAAGGGCCCAGAGATGTCAAGATACTCAAGGACTAAGGAATAACTAAATCAAGAGGCCACACAGAACCTCAGTGAGGCAGTACCAAAATAGTGGGTGGAGAAAGGGAAGGGAGAACAATGAAACAATGAGCACATGCCACTGAGGATGGAACAAGATGATCCGTAATCTGTTACCTAATAAAATAGCTCCCCAATTAACCTAACACCAAAGCCCTGGCTAGTAAAAGCTTTTATTGTTGCTTCCTGAAACAGTCTTGAGTTTTATTGTTTTGGGTTTTTTTGCCTTGGGTTTCTTTTCTAAAGCACGGAGTCACATACCTTTGAGGTAGAAAGAAAGAAAGTGGTGCACAAGGAAACTGCCATCTGTCTTGACATCACAGAGTAGAGTCAGTTTCCCCTAAAAAGTTACAAGAAACATAAAAAGATTAGACTTCTTGGAAAGAGGTCAGCTCAGCATAGAAAACCAGTCAATTGTGTCCACCCCTCAAGTTCTACACCGAGATGTATTTTTTAATGATTAGATACTAAATTTACCCAAAAAGGAAGAAAATAAGTCAATATTATGGGAAAAAGTCAATGATTAAAGTTATCAGTATTAATACTCATTATAGGCTTCCACTTTATCAAGGCAAAACAGAATAAAACTCCTTCTCTTCTCTCTCCTCACCTTAGTAACTTAGGAACCAGTCTTAAGGAGAATTAGTTCCCGAACAAAGGATACTTCCACCATCAGATTCCAAAGAAAATCAGACTACCAGGATTGGGAGGGACCTTCAAAAAAGTCTTCTGACTGAACTTTCTTCCCTTCTCTAATTCTGATGCCAATTCTGTCCTGCAGGGTGAGGGAGATGGAAGGAAGTAGCAGTTGTCCACAGAGACTTCCAATAACAAAGTCCTCCCAATGGTCCTGTTTCAGGTAGAGCTCTAATCATAGAGAGCCCCGGAAAGACCTCTAAAGGTGGTCTCTGCAGTGCCTAGCTGCCCTCAGTCAATGACAGGGAAAGTCAGGATCAAGTGCCACTCCTTGCCATGTGACCTTAGGCAAGTGCCTAACTTCTCTGGGCTTCAGGCTTTTTTTCACTTATAAAATATGAAAGATTACATGGTCAGACTTTGAGAGTTATTCCCAGTGCTGTCCCTTCCTGGTGCCCACTTGAATACCCAGTCCCTCACACTGGTCTTGAGTTGGGGATTTTGGAAGTGCCAGCATTAATGGGCAAGGTAACTAGAGTCATCTGGAGGCTTGGGACAGACAAGAAAGACCGGGTAACTAAAATCCAAAGCTACAATTTGCCTGGCACAATGGGGTCATAAAAAGGCTTTACATACACAGCATCCTGGCTGTCTGGAGGCGCTTACTATTTCGTTAGGAAGAAAAGGTTATGAAACAAGCCAAATATGCTCCTGAAAGAGGCAATCCCGATGTTAAAATGTGAAAGATTTCGAGGTGCCCTCGAGTGTGAGGAGGGTGGAGGAAACAGTGGCTAGGCTGTGGTGACGAACGCAGACCTGGTGCAACCTAACATTGGCTGGGTGCAGTCTGGAACAGCCCTATTCGTGACCACGAGAAATAAGACAGACAGTAGCAACGTCCAATACAACCCGAGTGCTCCGGGACCAGGAGACTCAGTGCGGTTAAGAAGCTGATGCCATGAAGACGGCGGAGACTCGAACTCTCTCCTCTCGAACCTCCGAGCACCTGAGACCACCACCGCAAGGAGCACGCGCAGGACTCGCAGTACACGTCTGTAGTTGTCAGACATGATTCGTAGGGGCTTTTAAGGACACGCACGAGCCGGGCTCGGTGGCTCAGCCTGTAATCCCGCGCCTTTGGGAGGCTGAGGTAAGTGGATTGCCTGAGCCCGCGGGTTCGAGACCCGCCTGGGCAGGCGAGACCTCATCTCTACAATAAAATTAAAAAATTAGCCGGGCGTGGTAGCGCGCGCCTGTAATTCCGGCTACTCGGAAGGCTGAGGTGGAAGGATCGCCGGAGCCCGGCAGGTCGAGGCTGCGGTGGCCGGGAGCACTGCACTCCAGTCTGGGCGACAGAGTGAGACTCCAACTCAAAAAAAAAAAAAAAAGGACACGCACGGCCTCTGCGGACATGCGACATGGTCCAGAAGCCCACAGTCCACAGGTCCAAGTCTCCAGCCCAAGCCTCGGGTCGACTCCCCACCCCATGGACTACAACTCCCAGGCGCCCCGTGCCCCCTTGCGGCGCCTTTCCCACCGGGTCGTACGCAATTCATCCCGGACGCAGTCTTCCGCCACGTTCCCAGGGCCCGCCTCCTTCCGGGCCGCGCGATATCTTACCTGCTCCGCTCTGTCGGGGGTGGTGTTGAGAAGGTTATTAAGTTCCGGGAACATTCCGAGCTCCCAGGACTAGCACTCTGGACGAGAAGCTGGGGTGTCACGGAGACGACTAAGGCAGGAGAGCAACACACACCCGCGGACACCAGTCTCGCGCGAAGGAGCGCGCATGCGCAACGTCGCTTCCGGAAGCCTGCCGCAACCAATCAGGCTGACGCCTCGGTGCCCGCGCTGGCGCACGCGCAAGGACGCGTGCCGGGTCCGGGGAGGCGGGGAGCGCGCCACGAGCCAGCCTTGGTCTGTGAGCATCCGCGTGGCGTCTGAGCACTTCCGGTGGCCTCCGAGGCTAGCTCGACTGAGCCTCTTGCTCCTTCTCTTGGTCTCGCTCTCTGCTCGGCCCCGGGCCCTTGTCCTTCCACACGTGGCTGCCGAGTGCCGGCTGTGTGTCCCATACTGCCAGGAGCCTGGATCACATCTGTGAACGAGACGGGCGAAGATGCCAGCCCTCGCGGAAAGCAGAAAACAAGCAGTGAACACGGAATTATATCTCGAAGAGTTATATGGAGAAAAGCAAAAGCAGTCGGGCTGGATGGATCACGCCTGTAATCCCAGCACTTTGGGAGGTGGAGGCGAGAGGATCGCCCGAGTTCAGGGTTTTGAGACAAGCCTGGGCAACTTGGCGAGACCTCGTCTCTCCAATAAATCAAAAAATTAGGCCGGGCTCGGTGGCTCAGCCTGTAATCCCAGCACTTTGGGAGGCCGAGGTGAGTGGATTGCCTGAGCCCGCCGGTTCGAGACCCGCCTGGGCAACTTGACAAGACCTCATCTCTCCAATAAATCAAAAAATCAGTCGGGCGTGGTAGCGCGCGCCTGTAGTCCCGGCTACTTGGAAGGCTGAGACGGAAGGATCGCCGGAGCTCAGCAGGTCGAGGCTGCGGTGCCCGGGAGCGGCCACTGCACTCCAGTCTGGGCGACAGAGTGAGACTCCAACTCAAAAAAAAAAATTAGCCGGGCGTGGTGGCGTGTTCCTGTAGTTCCAGCTACGTGGAAGGGTGAGGTGGAAGGATCGCCTGAGCGTAGCAGGTTGAGGCTACGGTAGCCGTGAGCGTGCCACTTGCACAACGGTCTCAGCGACGGAGTGAGACCCAGACTCAAAAAAAAGAAAAAGCAAAAGCAGGATAAAGGGTTGGCAATGGAGGTAGGGGTAGGTTTCAGAATGAAAAGTTGTCAGGGTAGCCCTCGCTAAGAAAGTGTGATTGGAACACGCCCTGTATGCCCGTCCTCCAGTAGGGACTTTGCCAGAACTGTTCCCTCTTCCTGAGATGCTCATTTTCCTAAATACTCAGCCAATTAAAAAATCCTCCACTTTTTCAGGTCTCAGCTCAAATGTCACTTTATTCGTGAGGCCTTCCCCAAACACCCTACTTAAATCGAAAACTCTCTTCTCCAACACCTTTTTTTTTTTTTTAAGTTGGAAGTTGGAGTTTCACTCTTGCCCACCGCTGGAGTGCAGAGGAATGCTCATGGCCACCACAGTCTCGACCTGCAGGGGTCAGTTGATCCTTCCACCTCAGCCTTCCAAGTAGCTGGAACTACAGGTGTGTGTCACCACACCCAGCTAATTTTTTTTTTTTTAATTTTAGAGACAAGATCTTGCCATGTTTCCCAGGCTGGTCTCTAACCCCTGGCCTCAGGCAGTCCTCTCACCTCCACCTCCCAAAGTGTTGGGATTACAGGCGTGAGCTACTATGCCCGGCTCCCTGACACTTATTTTTCTTTGCTTTTATGTTTTACATATCTGTTGTACCGTATGTAGTTTTGTTCTAGCCCAGTCAGCCTCAGATCACCAGGAACAAACCTGTAATTCCACCAGAGTTTATTGTCTCATTGCAAGGAGGGAGGTGGCACACCAGGGGAGCCTCTGGGGCCTGCCACTTTTTAGAGTTGTTTTGTGAATTGGAGAAGGGTGGAGTTCAGGTGAAATTTAAATGAAGGGTGTTTTGATAGTCTCAAAGCACAGCACAGCTGTGTTGTTAGAGAAGTCATCTGGCATGGGCTGCAAGTGAACCTACAGGGTTAAGATAGAAGTGGAATATAATCACTTATCTCAAACTCTGAAACTGGATTGAAAGTCAAGGCTGCTTCTCTATGTCTGAGACACAAACCCTCCACCCAAGAAGGATGGGATGTTTCATGCTTACTGATATGTAAGAAAGAGAAAACCAGCCACTGCCATTCAGGAACAATTTTTTTTTTTTTTAGTTGGAGTCTCACTCTGTCGCCCAGACTGGAGTACAGTGGCATGCTCCCGGCCACCGCAGCCTCAGGCAATCCACTCACCTCGACCTCCCAAAGCACGAGATTACAGACTGAGCCACCAAGCCCAGCCTCTTCTAGACATTTTGTAATTTTAGGTTTTACAGTTAGGAATATGATCTATGATCCACTTTAGTTAACTTTTGTACAAAATGCAAACTAAATTTTCTTTATTTGTTTCCTTTTTTTTTTTTTGCTTATGGATATACAGTTGTTACGGTACCCTTTGTTGAATAGACTATTTTTTTCTCTACTGCACCAACGTTGTGCCATTGTAAAAAAAATTAGGCCTGGGCTCGGTGGCTCAGCCTGTAATCCCGCGCCTTGGGAGGCTGAGGTGAGTGGATTGCCAGAGCCCGCGGGTTCGAGACCC